GTTGGCTATCCAATTAATATTAAATTGGATATCAATATCGATTTTTAATTTGAATAACGTTTTTACTGTATCGTGCGTAACTATACATGTACACGGAGAGAATTTTATTTTAAAGTTTATTCCGAAAATCATGTTAATCGTAGGACAACATAATATTTCGACGAATTTTATGTGATTTTCACTATATTTTTTAATATGTACTACAACAAATTTATTGTAGTGCACAGTAAAATTTGTCGAAATATTATATTGTTCCATGATCAACATGATTTTCAGGGAAAATTTTGAAAGGAAATTCTCTTCGTGTACCATCTGATTTTCGTCATTTGTATTGTGCGTAATTTAAATTGAAATTATTTTTCACGTTTTTGTGAATTTTTACTTTAGTTTTTCATTTCAGTAATTACATTGTAAAAGCAGTGTAGTTCGGTGTATAGTTCAAGATACAGCAGTAACGTTTATATATCACAACGTGAGACCGACCATCTGGTCGACGATTGAAAAATGTCAAATAAAATATCTCTTCTCTGTTAAAATTTTCTAATATTGCCACTAAAAACTTTCGCTATTTTTTTTTTCGCACACGTCGCCCCATACTGTCCGTGCGTCTCTAGACGCGGAAAAACGAAATCTGAACTGTTGCAAAATTTTACACGTTGTTGCTGCACCGGTGCTTTGATTCCCGAACATCGCGCGTCCCATCCGGGGGTATCCATCGATCGCGCGTTTTTCGTGCGAGGCCTGCTCTTTTTAGCTGCACCACATTGCACTTTTTACACCCGAAGTGAAAAAAAATATACATGGAAATTTGCAGGACTAATTATCGATTCTGATTACAATTCGCGTCCTAAACGAAATTTAAATTGCAAAGCTGGGAAATTCATGAACGTCGTACGCCTTTGCTCTTTGATCGTCGGTCAATCGCCCTCGTCGTCTCTTCTACCATCACATTCGCGCACATATGGAATTAAACAACCGAACATCCGAAACGATTCGAAATCATTCCATCAATGCCCCGTTCACAATGACGAATGACGATCGCGAACGAGAACGTAACTGAACTATGCAGGGTCGTAATCGAACACGTAATCGAGTGTGTCGTGGAGGGGCAAGGGGGAGGGGGAAGGGGGGAGGCAAAAACTGACGGAAAGTACAAGAAAAGTGCAGCTAAAAAAAGAGGAAAAAATAAAGAAAACGGACCTATGGTGCGTCGTGTGGCAACGGGAAGTATCTACCTCACGAGAGGCCGTGTCGAACGACGACTAGCGGATCGAATAAAAACGTCAAGCGAGTCGACCGACGACGTGCTTGCTTTTGGCGTCTTCGCCGCCGCCGCCGCGCACTTAAGCTGCGTCCAAACTCGTAACCTCACTGCGTCGAGTAAAAAAAAAAAGATGACGGTTAAATAAAACGAAAGATTGTATCATTTGTATCGTAAACCTTTTTCATATCCCCCTCCCCCCTCTCTTCTATATCTTAACGAAGCGTCGAAACGGCACGGCGATGAATTACAACATTTACAACCATGCTAGCCGCGATATGTGTCGTCGATCACGCGATACCGATGCGCAGTACATATACAACAAGTCTGGACGCACCTTTACGCTACGCCGCGCTTCGCGCGCGCGAGATGCACCGTCGGTAGGAGAAACGCCTACGTGTAAACACTTTTCTCGCTCTGTCTTCCTCTCACTCTCTCTCTCTCTCCGTCTCACTCCGTTATTCTATCTGCTCTCCGCTCTGCTCCCGCCAACTCCGCGGTCGTTCGCTCGCGAGCATCGCGATCCATTCGTTGGCAATAACGAGCTTGTACATGATCGTCGAGAAAAATAAACTGAGCGATGAGCGCGGGAGGAGGGAGTAACAAAGAGAGAGAGAGAGAGAGAGAGAGAGGGACACACACACAGAGAGAGAAATAGGAAGACGTCGATCTTCTCCGAGGTCCCGAGACTACCTCGCTCGCTCGTACTTGACAGATTTCGATAGATTTGGAAGCGGGAAAACGACTGCGGCAGCGCGTCCCAATATACTACGCCATGCATGGTGGGAAACGATGACAGAGAACGATTGATTTTTCAACTACGGCCACATCATCCTCCTCCGGGGAGGTCCGCTCCGTCCGCGATGCACGAGGAAAGCGCGATACAACGCATAAACGCGAGACGTGCACGCGCGCGTTAAGACCTTGACGTCAACACGTCGTTGATCGCGGCGCGGAGCGATCGAGCGAGCGAGTGGTGAGCGGCGGCGGCGGCGGTGGCGGCGGCGGCGACGGTCGCGGCCGCAGCAGCGAGCGTCTCCACGGGCCGATCAGCGTCGCCGAGGCTCGCCGTTATCGATTCGTTCGTCCTTTCGTCGCACGGTATCTCGATAACGCGCGACGAGACGACACAACGCGGCGAGGTGTACGCGCACGACGCGTCCCGTCCGGGCAGCCATTTGCTGCCGTGTGCTGACGGTAGTACGGAAATAAAAGGTATACGTACGAGGAACGCAGCACGGTAGCGACTTACGGCCAGCGGACACGCTCGCGTTGGGCGGTGCCGACGGTGCGTACGTACGCGCGGAGCATCCGCGCGGCGTCCCGCGGATCTGTCAACGCGGCCCGCGAAAAATATTTGGATTTTTCTTACCTGGAACGGGATCCGCTACGGCTAAAAGGATTCTTCAGCTTCGAATATCGCGACCCCACGCCACTCGTGCGGCATACGGCCAGTGTACGGGGAAAATCTCCCATTACCATTGGCTTATTTCAGATAAGCCGCAAAAAGTAAGCCAATCAGCGCCGACCTTTTATGTTTTGGTGCGTTTCTTTTTGCCCCCCACCAAATAAAATGTCGGCCGGTCGAAAGGGCGGGAAAATGCGTGCGCGCAAAGCCGATCGTTCGACGGCTAACGCGGCCGTTCCTATCGCCGTCGCGGCCGCCCTATCGAAATACGGTCGATCGAACGGCCGACACCGTTCGCCGTCCCTTGTTTCGCACGACGACAGATCGTCACGGCCGTCTACGCGCGTTCGTTGAGGTTAGGCATCGTTTCTATCCTAGATGGCACCAGTCGACGATGTGGTGGAACGACGCGGCGGCGGTTGGCTGCAGTATCGCCAACTTCGCGCGGAAAAATCAACGAGGAAAACTCCGCGTCTCCTCACGTTGTCCACTCTTTCTCGCGCGCGCTTGCAGTCTGGGGGAAAAAAAACAACTATATGTCTCGAGGCGAAAATCACTGTTCAGACACGAAACAAAAATCGTTAGACGAGTATACGCACTGCGCTCGGGAATGTAATTTTGTCCAATATTTTTTACTTTTCCGCAAAATAAAAGTGTCGCTTTAATAACGTAAAAGAACACTCAAAAATGCGTGACTACTTCATTCATATGATATTAAATCGCGCCAGCTGTAGTCCATCGGATTTTTACATAACGATAAATTTGAGATAATTCAAAAATATATCAAAATGGAATACGTATGTTTGCTGATCATGAAAATGCAACTTTAGTCTTTTCTCGCACGTTTTAAAAATTCAATTCAGCGAATTCGAATTTCTGTCCATTAAGTATATACGATATCATTCCTTTTTGTTATCACGATGATAAATTTAACTTTACTGTCTCGCGTTTTCTCCTTTTTTTTTTTTTGCCAAAACACGAGTATCATATTAATAATTCTTTCGCGTTCCTATCTACGTTTTTTCGTGTATTCCACGCTCGAACGAATGTAGACTCGCAACAAGCGGGTGCCTGATTAATTTTCGCGGCAATCTCTACCTTATAATGGGTTTTGGCACGCGGGACGCGCAACAACACACACTTGCGTGCAGGAATCATAAGCGTTCAAAATGGCGATACCCGTCGTACTCGGCAAGCTCACGAAAAATTTCAGAAAATGCATATGTATGTCACACCATCGGACTCGGATCAAAATCGCAAGAGAATCGGTTAATCAAGTGTGTACGATGCAAAGAACGCGGTAATAAATGTTTTTATCAGACATACGTTTAATCACATTCTCGTGCATTATGTGATTTTGCAAGTACGTGACACTACGTGATTGAATGCCTTTTATGACGTTGCAGTATTTGCGGCTGTGTCAAATGGTGGTAGTCGGTGTGCTGCTACTCTGCCGGATGACAAGGACTTGACACTCCGTGGACGGGACGTCGCTTTTCTTGCGCCTGCGCGCATCGAGAAAGAGCGGCTGTCGCGTTACCTGCACCTTTTACACTCCGAGATTTCGCTTTCTCCCTCGTCTCAGTGCCGGAAATATATATTCATCTCGTTTCAAGTGCAAAAAATTTGGGAACTTTAGGCACGGGGTGGTACGAGTCTAATGCGATTACGATGAGTTGGTATCACCAGATGGTTTCGTCAGGTCAAAGCCTGGCCAGCCTGCCTGGCCAGCCAGATAGACTCGGCAAATGTTCAGTCTTCAGTAGAAGGCGGTCGAGGGTGGGTTGTGCGTATGTCGACGTTCGCGTGAGTGCGTCTTTCGGTGAGAGTGCTCGCGTTGCATCGTCGTTGACGGTATTTTCTCGTCGGCGTCGTTCGCCGCAGCGGCCGATAAATCCCCTCGGTGGTGGAATTTTCATCCGTGCCGGGCCGGCAGTTGTGCATGTTCGCGGCCACCGGTATCGCGGTGAAATATCGCTGAAAACGAGAGAGAGAGGAGAGCTCTCGACGGAGTATCTTCGCCGGCGGATAGCGGATCCTCTGGTGCGCGGCGGCCGCGAGTAGACCCCGTCCCCAGATCCCCGGCGGCGAGACGATCGCGAGCCCCCCCGGGCACGTCGACGACCCAGGCGAGCGATCAGCGGCGACCGATCCCCCGGCGCGCGGGTGTGACGCGGTGCGTCACGACGCGTCACGTCGCGACGCGGCGTCGGCGGCGTGGCGCGGCTCCCGCTTCGCTTCACTTGGCGTGGGCTCGGCAGGCATTGTATCTAGTTGTGGCTCGGTTAACTCCGGTTAACTCGCGGTAAACGGAGACACGGAGATCTACACCGCGTACACACGCCGACGTAGTCGGCGAGGCGACAAGTAGGGGAACTCGGCGGCCTAGTGCGACCTCGGCGGCTGGCGTGCGCGCGGGCGGAGGAGAATTATGAACCAGCGACGTTTCCTAGCGTGCCGTCATTGTCATTATCATCACCATCGCCGTGGTCATCGTCCCGCGATCGCCGGCTGCTCCGCCACGATTGAAGACTTTTGACACGAGTGCACCGACCGTCGCGCGAATCGTCGTCGTCGTCGTCTTCGTTGCCATCGTCATCGCCGTCGTCGTCGCAGACGAGGGCACACTAAAGCCGCGCGGCTGAGTCCCGATCGGCAATCCCGATCGCGATCGAGAGAACTGTTTCCAGCTTGCGGGCCGGAATGAACGGCTTCAGCACCGGCGAGGAGGACTCGAGGGGCGCGGCGGATCAGATCTGCTGCCTCGTCGACGAGGGTGAACGGTGCTCCCGTCCGGCCGGCAACGCGTCCTACAGCAAGCGCATTCAGAAGACCGTCACACAACGGCGACTCAAGCTCAATCTGGATCACATGGTGAGCATAACATGGCAAACGCGCACGTCCGCGCGCGGCACTCGCGAGCGAGCGAGAGAGAGAGAGAGAGAGAGCACGCGCGCGTATCGCTGCTGCCGCCGAGATGCTCTCTCTCTCTCTCTCTCTCGAAGACGCGAGAGCACCAGCGACGACACAAAAAAGTCAATACATAGAATGTACGTGCTCTGTTTATCGGTATTACGAATTGTTAGAAAATACCGCCCGCCTTATAACATATTCGCCATGAGACCGTTGTTACGTGCTGTAACATACGCTACTTCTTACATTTGTGTATAATTACAATTGTACTTGGTATTAGGTAGATAGGCAACGCAGAAAGCGCCGATAAACGAATAAATAAATATTTGTTGAAGTATAATTTAATTTCGTGTCACGTTTTTACAAAATAATTTACTTGATGCGAAAGGTATATCAAATTATTACGCTGGGAAATTATTACCCTGAAGATTCTATAACGAAGTCTAATTCAAAATTTTATATCTTCCAAAAATTCTTTTCTAGAATTATAATGTATTTTTTGTAAAATAATTACGCAAATAATTTGTTCGATAAATTTTCGTACGCGGTGAATTGACATATTTAATGAGATAGACCTTAGGCGACAGAATTTCCCGTGGGAGTTATTGATGCGCAAACGTCATGTACATTTGTATACTATTGCTATTATTATTGCTATCTCTTACAATCTTTGTGTATTATGTACTAGGCACGGCACATATACATCTGTGATTATCACAAGCAAGTGATTCAATGTGCGAGAACTAAGCAGCAACAACAGCGAAGGCGCAAGGATTCTGAAGAGGACTCGGGTGAAACTGACAACGACCTCCCAGAAGTCGACCTCTACCAACTGCAAGTCGGCACTTTGAGGCGGTACAAGAGGCACTACAAGGTTTCTACCCGACCAGGTCTTAACAAGGCTCAGTTAGCAGATGTAAGTATAGTAATGTTATTTTATTTCTTTCTTGCAATAACGTGCAATAAATATAATAAAATAAATTTAAAAAATATATATATATATAATAGGTAAGAATTAATTTATATGCCTATACAGACAGTAAATGTTTTTAATATAAACACAGACATAATTATATGAATTAAATTATTTCTAAAAAGTATGTATTTAAAATACATATATAATCTTTCCAAATCTCCTTTAATCTCATTAAGAATTATTAATGTAAATAATGAATAAATAATAGATATAGATTTACTTGTCACTCGTTATTATTTTAAAAGCTATTAAGGAAAAGAAAATAAACATACAGAAAATATGATGAATGATGTAAGAATTATGCGTTTTAAGAAAACGCAATGCGCACGCTTGGTCCTGTTCTTTGTAGCTATATGTAAGTTATATTCTTGTTGCAGACTCTCATGAAGCATTTCAAGACCATCCCTGTCGTGGAGAAGGAAGCTCTGAGTTTTTTCATCTATACAGTTAAGACCAATGCGAATAAGTTAGACCAAAAGAATGGTTTAAGTAGTAGCGACACGACGTAACATTGTGTAGCAACAGTGTGTAATATTAATCTAACGTAATTTAATATTAATTTTTAATTGTTATATGTATTATATGTTAGTAAGTGTATTTTATAAAAAAAATCTGTCCATTTAAAAAAGTATATATATACAAGATATAGATGTATATAAATTATAATATATAAATATATATATATGCATACATATATACATATTATGAGATCAGCCTAATATATATGTATGTATGCCCAAAGCATCAAAATCATTTGCTGTTATTTTACTTATTTTTTCATTACTTCTCGTATGTGTAGAAGCTGGCACGGATGAAAAAAATGTACAAAATGCGTGCCCATGATTCCGTTTTAGAAATCACGGGTGACGATATAGTTTGGAAGGAAATGTCCGAAAAAAGATGAGTGCGCAGTTATTAAGACAGAAATAAACGACTTCTATGAAGCCAATGCATTTTTTATCTATTTTACCTTTATTGAAAAAAAAAAGAAAATACATAGAATATACGTTCCGTCGTTCGGGATCTCGATATAATTCCCTGATAGATTTATATATCTATACTTAAAGTACGAATATGTATAGCGTCAGATAAAGACATGTATAAAGATCTCGTTTTTTTTTTCTTGGTTTACTTTCTATTGTACCTTCAACATACTCAGCAATGCAGTCATTATTATCATTATTAATTCGATTTTTTTCGATCAATTTATTTTTTTTTGCCTCTTGATAAAGATTTTTATTTGTCCATGGAAACGAAATAATTTGCATATAAATTGAATTCGTCAAAAAATCATTCACAGTGGGTAAAGAAATGTATGGATTCTTCATAAATGTACATAAAAGAGGAACATCAGCGCGTGAATATCGCTCTTTGTTCGATAATTTATTATAAACGGAAAATATACTTAAGTTAAATCTCAGTACGGGTTGAACGAAGGAATACGAAAGAAACAAAAGATTTACCTCAATAAAGTACTTCAATAGCGGTAAAATGAGAAAGCTCTCAACGTTTCGTTTTCCATTGACATTTTGATTTGACAGATTTTTCTGAATTCTTTATGATTTTTTAGAAGATACCTTCTTTTTACAAAGATATTTTATTAGAAATCGTTCGTTTTTTTTCAACAAACTTTAAATTTAACAAATATCAAAAATTTTTAATTCTCTATCATCACGGTAATTATTATGACGGTAATTATTATGCTGTAATGAGTGTAATAGAAATGCTAGATATTGCTATATAATAATTCTTCAGTTCTTCTAACAGCATATTCAGTGTGTTCCTTTGCTTTGTCCGAAGTAATAAGTGTCATCCACGTTTCAATTTTCATACAATTGATATAATTAATTTTGGCAACACATACTTTTTCTTGCCCCCACTGCATCAAATTTTTTCCGTTGATAAAATAAATTATTACACGGAAATATTCTTGATAATCTTCTACGATACAAATTAACCCATATGTTGTTGCACGTAGCTCCGTCTTAACAGAATTATCTCTTGCTTTTTCCATTGCTCCGGTTGATTAATCTCTCATTCGCGCCTCATTTCTTATGTCTCGGCGAAGCGATCTACTGTAATTCTACAATGCAATATAGGTGCACGGTGCATTATGTACGTTTTTATTATTCGCGAACGTTACCATTATCGTTATCATTGCTTAATATTAATGCAGTGTAATAGCATAGCAGTTACCATTACTTGAATCACTATTACTATCCTTATAACGTATTATATATATATAGTAAAATCTTGATTATTCGAACGCTCGATCGACTGAATGCTAGATTACACAAGTAGTATAAAGAACGTTCGAATAATCAAATGCTTGATGAGAAATAGATTTGGATAATCAAGATTCTATTGTGCCTGTTACATTTAGCTCATATATATGCATGTATATATAATATACACTGTATAATATTCCAGGATATTATATAATGTATACCTAATACATATTATTTATTATATAATATAATATTATATAATTATATATAATAGATATTATATAATTATATATAAAAGCATGTTAGTCATGTATATAATATAGCGCCTGCGTATGATATAGAAATTCATTATAAAATGGAACTCGTCCCTTTCGAATTTGGCTTTTCCTTTTTTTATCATCGTAAGTATAACCGAATTTTTTGTGAGACAATTTCTTTCTTTTCCGGACAATATCAACAGTATACATAATATATACAACGATAATTCTAGGTTAGTAGTAAAACTCGCTTGCAGGTCTCGACTCTTGTCATCCGTCCGCAGTATATTCGAGTACACGAATTAAAGTAAGGTTGTCGTCCTTGTCCGTCCTAATGGGTCCATATTACAACTTATACGGTCCCAACTTCTTCCGGGTCGTAATTTTTAACTCTCTTGTTGTACGCGATGATTTCCTGCGCATTAAAAAATATCATTTCGTTAAATTCACGAATGTCAAAGGTAATCGATCCGCAGAATGTGTTAGAAACATATCGCCCGAATAATGTCTCCAATATATTTCGGTATAAGAACAACGTACTCTTTCGTATCGGGCTCTATCCTCCTCCGCGATTGCCATGTACTTGGATTTCGTCTGTAGATCCGTACTCATCCACAGTTTTCCTAATTCCTTTGCAATATCACCCACTCCCATCTCGGGGTGCAACTCTCTCATCTTGCCACGTAGCTCTTGGCAGAAGTAGAAAAACGCGGATCTGTAACACGTCGATGTAGAATTGCGATAAGTATCATAAGCGTTTCAATGCTCATTAGATGACTATTGTTTGTATCGACAAATCATGTCTACATATTTTTTTCTTACAAAAATTTTCACTGATAAATCAGAGCAAAACAAATAAGTTACGCTTTATATTCGAATTATAATTCTGTCAAATATTATCTGTGTTCGCGTAACGTAACGTACAGTGCCCGTTTCGGTGCATCTTTGTCCCTGTATCTCTTCGTTCCTCTGCGCGTTGGTCTCTCTGGCTCCTCGTGTCCGGTGTAGTGTCTATCGTAGTAATACATTTTCTTGCTGTTGCAATGCGCATTACCGTCTTCGAGATGTACAATCTGTGAAATGAATTGATATTCGTTGTAACTGTCGTTAAGGTGATCACAAGAAACTCATTAGTACATTTTTCATTTGCATCATTCAGACACCGCTCTAATTCAAATAACAATTTATCTCTTTTTTAAATTGCAGTCTTTGTTCTATATGATTTAAATTTACGTGTAAACCCGAGTACTGTCAAGGCATTGTAACGATTGTCGCACCTCGTTCTTCACCGGCACTGCATTGATGATATAATTTTTAGGGCCGTTATTAGACCACTTTGTCTGATTAGTGGAAACGTTGGACACGTTGTTGGGCTTCATCACACCCTCTCCACCGCACTCTGCAAAAAGAATACATGGGTTAGTACACAGGCTTGTACAGGCTAGTACAGGTTGTATACAGGCAGGACGAATCTACGCAATTTTTATTACGTCTAAATACCTGGTGCCATATTAGCCTGGCCGACGATCATAGTCTCCCTCATTCCAGAGTTCAAGGAGTTGTCGCCGGTTTTCAGATACACGTTCTTTCTGTCTGACGATTCCATGACTGTCTTACTCTTGCGCAATTCAAGGATTGTGGCACAACTTAGTAGTAGTAATCACCTGTTGACAACAATATAATACCAAATTATACTTTTTGAAATAACACTGAATTTCTGAACGCCGATTAATTCGAAGGGAGGTTTATAGCAGAATCCGGAGAATAAGAGGAGTTAAAAAAAAATTAAGATCAAATTTTTCTTCCGCTATTTCACTTTATCAATATATGTATCTTAATTATTAATCTATTCCTCCCCCTCCCCCCTTCATTATTGTTCTTCAGCGCTCGAATCAACGTTCGTTCGTTCGTTAACTGTGTAAAACTATCGCGGCTCCAAGATTTGTTGTAAAGAACAAAAACCGGGTTCGCCAAGCTGGCTCTTCTCAGTCGCGATCTCTTACAATCTCTTCCTCTTTCTTTCCGCTCCGATCTCCGAGTCGACACTTATTTCAAGCGACGAGAAAGTACGAGTACGGCCGAGAGGAACAGATTGTCGCGAATCCCGTCCTTTCCCTCAGGAACGCCCAGCGATCGCGAGTACCTCCGCGACAACGTGAAACTCTCCGACAGCACTCGGACTGATCGACTCTTTTACTTTATTTAAAAGCTCCGACAATTTCGCACGCTATCAGCTTGCAACCTCATCCATTTTTTTCCTCGAACAACTACTCGCTTTACGTGGTCGTGATCGGCTTGGCTCCGGTCGGAGAGGCTCGCGTAGCCGAAGCGTCTAGGCAACTCGGCGTCGTCGTCCCGGTCGCACCGACAATCACTTACCCAAGGCGTCGCGAACGCGGACACGCAACGCAACACGAGCGAGCGAGCGGAAGCGGGAGGCGGCGGGCGGTGAGTTCGCGATCGCGAAAGAAACGGGATGATCGGCGGGTGGAGAGGAGGTGAGGAGGGAGGAGGTGCGGGGGAGGGGAAGAGAGGCGGCGGCTATCGGGCTCGATTCCACGGATATACCGGGGGCTATCGCACCTACCGGGACGTAGATTACGTGGAAGGCATCCGTATCGTATCGCGCGGAGGCGATCGTGACGATCGTGTTCGCGCGCGAGAGAGAGAGGGAGAGGCGAAGAGAGCGAGACGGAGAGAGGAAAAAAAAGAACCGGGACCCGAGGAACGAATCGGATATGGCAGTTGCCGTGGCGTGGCGTATATATTATTACGAGTATACGTGCCACGGATGTCCGCGCACGGAGATGCGTCGTCGAGTCTCTGCTTCTTTCTGTTTTTTTTTCTCTCTTTCTTTACCTAAGGGGCTCGCTCATACGCGCGGCTGTCGCATTTTTCGCGATCACCGACGACCTGCCACGGGGCGACCGACAGTGCTCCGGCGATATATGTCTCGTCGCTAGACGCTACCGCGCGGTCCGCGGCCCGATAATCGTCGCCGCCGCCGTGAAGTGAACAACCGACGCGTTTTGTTGTATACCGTGGAACTGATGTCTACGAATCTGCTGCGTCCTGCGACTATGGGAAATGGGAATTTGCGACGTCGCGATATACCAACGCGCGACGCGACTGCCAGCTCGAGCTCGGTAATGCTCGGCTCTCCCGACTGTTCCCGAGGCGCGGATGTAGGGAGTGTAGGGACGCGCTGCCGATTGGCTGGGCGATCGCCGAAAGTACCTAGGATAGTCGCTCGCGCGCACATCCTAGAGATGTTTCGTTTATGTCGCTGAAATTCCTACGAGGTGGAGGACTTCTTCTATTGGACGTCGGCGCGATACGAATATCCATCAGTCCGTGGCTCGCGCACGAAAACCAACTGAATTTCAACAGCTAAAACCAACAGACACACTCGGGCTGCGTTCGGTTTGGCGCTTAAAGCGCTTATAAGCATCATTTGTCCTTGTTTAACATTTGATAAACAACAAGGACGAAATGATGTTGTGAGCGCCTGTAAACGCCAGGGCGAACGCAGCCCCTGAGGAGGGCGCCTCTCCCGTCATCTGTCGGCGCGACGCCGAACCGGTTTGTAGTGTTTACACATCGTTGCTCGGTTCTCTCGACTATTCCCGACTATTTCCGAGGCGGACTCGTCGGCTCGGCGCGACCGACTTGAAGTAGTTGAAGATGCTACGTTGCGACTCCCAAAAAGTTGCTGGTTCTCTTGATTTGATTTCCTGCCGCGGAAGCGAGAGTCGACAGTGTCTTTAGGGATGCGCAAAACGATAAATTAAATAATAAGTTGAAAGTTTATCGATATCGATCAGCAGGCGATTAACTTATCAAGATTTAATCGGCGATTAATTTATCAAGTAATCAAATAAATTGAGAAAAGACTAATGAACGGTCATCGCAAAATCTTGGTGCTTCTAATATTTCTGTATTAATTTTACATATATTTTCTAGATTCAATGAACTGCGTATGTAAAATTCACACATAAATATTAGAAGCACCAAAATCCTATGCCTGTGACCGCTCATTGACCTTCTCTCGCTAATTTATTAATATTAACGAATTTATTAAGTATAAATACATGTATTATACATGCATGTACTACTTTGTTAACACGGATAGAATTATTATTATTTCTTTTTTGTTTAAAGAAATGTTTTAAAGATAGATTAGATTACAATTTAATTGTTTACACTTTTATAAATGCAACTTATTTAAAGGATTCAATTTTAGAAATGTAACAAAAAGTTTCCTCGAAATTCGTAGGAAATAAAATCATCGCCAATTTTTTTTTACCCGTGAGTCACGAATCTACCCTTATTATTTAAACCGTGAAGATAGGCGGAAACGTTGAACTTCAATTGTTTCTTAACGCTATTTCGAGTCGCACTCTCCTTCTGTTCCCATAAATAGATAGTGTTCGATTAATTAAGCCATTTCGAATCGTAGCCTTCTTTTGTTCCCATAAGTAGATAGCATTCGATTAATCAAATTGAATATATACATGAGAATAATTTCAATTTTATCCAGCATTATATACATCCAGTAGATATATACTTCATTTTTTGCGTCTGAACGAAGGAAACGTTTGCCGAAAATGAGCAAAGATTCGGTAAGTCGTGTTTGAAATTACGATTGCAATTTTATTTGAGAGAGAGAGAGAGAGAGAGAGAGAGAGAGAGAGAGAGAGAGATTAAGTATAGCCTCGAAAAAATTACGATCAACTCTGTTTCAGCGTTCCAGAATGTTTGACAACATTATTTTGATCTGTAACAAATGCTACTCCCCGACGTACAGGGGAAAACGTCCGTATCACATCACGCAGTGCGGTCATATCTTCTGCCAGGCTTGTCAGCAGCAATGTAAAAAATTTATTTAAAAAAATCTTCTCGCGATCGAAATTACGATCTTGTTTTCCACGATTTTGTCTGTTCATCCTCGTGACTTATAGGCACCACCGTCGAGAAGCAACCGTGTCCGCAGTGTCGGCGCACCGACATCATATCGGTAGGGCTGGAAGATCCGTTGCCGCCGCAGGTCACCCCGTTCTTCCATTCCATGCTCGAGATCCTGGAAACACTGCAGAAGGTGGAAACGTTCCGCGTCGGCCAGATGAAAATAGTGATGCAGCGCTTCTTTGACATCGTACATACATAAAATGTTTATCCTACTCTTATATATATATATATATATATACCTTCTCGGTTTCTCCTCTTATAATTCCTTATAATTTCTTATTATTGTGTCTATATCACATCTCTTTATACATTTCTCACGTTTCTATTATATCCTTTGTATTTTTTTTTAAATTAATTTACCGCTGTCGACGACGCGCCGCTTCAAGGATAAAAAGTACGAGATCCTGAAGAGCCGGTACTGGATGCAGCAGCGCAATTTGAAAGTGTTGACGGAGAAGTACATGAATTTGAAGAAGGAATACGAGAAGACAGCTGCGGCTCTCAACAAGAAGCTGCAGTTCGCCGAGGTGCAGAGGGAAACTCCGCAATCCCGCATGTACCGCGTGAGGGAGACGCCCGACTCCGGTATCTCATTCATGCATCACTCGAGCACAGGGATGACAGGGTAAAGTGCGAAAAGCTTTGTGATATAAAATATATCTAATATAAAACGAACGAACGATACTGCATATCTCCGAACGAGATCGGAGAAAACGGATCTCCTTGTGAGATTCGTTTTTGCAATATGTACAAAGTTATAGATAGATAATTTATTGAAATTAGTATTTAAGTGCAATGATATCGTATAGTGTGTACCATTCATTCTTATTGTTATTTGTAGATACTCTATGGAATCGTTGAAATCCGCCACAACACCCATAAATATAACACCCATCATGCCGCTATCGCCAGATTTAAAGAAACAGAAGTATAGAAGAACCGCCGATGGTTTTCGCGTACCCCGCCAACCGTAAACCTTCGAAATATATCGTTTCCTAAATATATCGTATCGAATTGAGTTATAGTATTATAAGACACATTTATTTCTTTATTAGTCTTTCATAATTATGTTATTTTGAGTTCGTCTCATTTAACTTATATTTAAGCGAAAACGCGAACTTTCGCCGTAATAAAAAAAAAAGAATTAAATGACGACCTCGTTAAACATACGCGAAAAATGTAAATTTTTTTTATTGTAAATTCTGACGAAGATTATGTTACGTTCTAGACACAACACAAAGTCTAAAATCGATACTAAGACGTCTTTTATAGTCGAGTCATCTTTTAAATATCTTTTAGACAATTCTCGCAGACGTTGTCTGGGGTATTTGAAATAGACGTTCTACTTTGTATTATCTCGTATCGTGTACATTTTTAATTACGCGAACTTTCGTCGTAATTTAAAAAAAGAAAAGAATTAAATGACGATCTCGTTAAATGTACGAGAAAAATGTGAATTATTTTTATTGTAAATTCTGACGAAGATTACGTTACGTATTTGAAATAAACGTTCTACTTTGTATTATCTCGTATCAAAGTACATTTTTAATTATGCGAACGTTCGTCGTAATTTAAAAAAAGAAAATGATTAAATGACGATCTCGTTAAACGTACGAGAAAAATGTGAATTATTTTTATTGTAAATTCTGACGAAGATTATGTTGCGTATTTGAAATAAACGCTCTACTTTGTATTATCTCGTATCAAAATACATTGAATTTTTTTTTTAAATTTATCTCGACAAATGTCGCAAATATAAAGCAATCGAACAATAACATGAACAATATACATATATAAATATAATACACTTAACATATCGATTCTAAGCTTATTAGTCATTTCGATATTGTGTAATCTGATGTAATCAATTATTCGTTCATCATACTAATGCGTCATACGTATAGATAATGCGCTATTTGCTATATATTTGAATTCGCCGATTCGCGTTTAAATCTACGCTCTGAATTTAAAGGGACAATTCGATCATCGGTAAAATAGGCAGCAATTCCTGCGCGATAAAAACATTCGCAGATTCTCGTTTCAAGCTGGCCTTAGAATACGAATGAGAGACAACTTTTACGAATAATTGATTGATCTATTCTATGCGATTTATGTCCGGTGTACTGTATACACGCACGATCCCCTGTACGAGTATATATCTGTATATATCTGTCGGAAGATCGATTTCATACATGCCTTAAGTCCGGCCGCAATGGGCATCTTCGTGTGCGGAATGTGATTTCACAGGATGGCAGAGACAAGCAATAACGACTCGCGTGGTGCGTCGAGTCTTGGTGACGACGCGATGGGAATTATGCTAAACGACGAGTTTCCAAATGATTTGCGAGAGGTAATTGAATAATGTCGAGCAGTCATTTAGGTTAGAGTGTTCTAAACAAACACTTCATGTCACATGTGACACGTGAAAGTACAAATAACTTTTATACTTAATTTGTATCAATACAATATAAAATAATAACGGTTTTGTTACATTTTTTAAATCTTTTTCTTCTCTCTATGAAATAACATTCGCTAATGTCTACAGATAGTGTCTATTAAAACGGAAGACAGCGTTTTGCAAGAGGTGTCGGAACAGATCAAATGTGCTACAGAGTCAAGCAATCAGCACGAAATACAAGATGTTGTCGAACTGATTGCCGAAGGGAATGCCGAAGTTAAGGGCAAAGAGGACCATAGGTCAGAGCTGCAAAAGCAGGTCGAGATTGGGGAAATTACTCCGTTTGAAGCGGTCTTTAAACAGACAGCTCTGGAGCAAAAAGAAGGGTATAATATAAAAAAAGTTTATTTGTGTGATAATTTAAATTAAACTTGGAATATAATATTTGAACAATCTTAATATATTTAAATAATTATTACTTTACTTTATAGGACTGCCAATAAAAGTTCTCAATTGTTAGACCTCGAGAAGTACTTTAAACAACAAGCTGCTCTCGCTGAACAAAAGAGGAAACTAAAGAAAGTATCTAAGGCATCTACTGACAAAGATCATTCGGTGCCAGTCAAGAAAACAAAGTTGCACAGTACTGATGCAGGAACGAGTAGTAAAAGATGCCAAAAGTCTAAACATGAGAACAGCAGAGATAACACTCTGCAAAATATAGACAAGGCAGACTCCACTGTAGCAAATGAGCCTGCTGACAACAGTTCGGAAAGCGAATATGTTCCCAGTGATAATGAAGTGGATTCCGGTAATATTAATATTAGATCTGTTTGGATAAATTCAAAAGAGTTGTATCTACATTTAACAAGAAATCTCTTTTCAGATGTAGAGGATAAGGCATCATCTAAAAAAAGGAAAACTTTAGCTAAATCAGGATACACCCGCATAAAAAGAAGTAAGTTTGTAATTGAAGTGAATTATTTGTTCCTTTTACTATTATTTTATTATTCGTTATTTTGATCGTATTATTTTTTTAATTTATCCAGCTCGAGATGACGGAGATCATCGATTGTTTAAGCAGAGAGTAGAAACGAACACTTATCCCAAAGATGAAGCAATGCATAAAATTGATACTCTTTTTAAAGTGCCACAATGTATTTGGGAAAAATTGTACAGGTAGATGCGCTACTTTTTGTCAAATTTTACTATTTTATTTATAAAATATTTTACTTGATATAATATTTAGTTTAATTGAAGAAAAAAAAAGATTTAAATTTTATTTTAGTCTTTTTAAATTATTTTGACATGGATAAATTTTCTGTATTCTGATTCAATTTAACATTCAGTTTCATATTTGTATTAATATATGATTAAATCGACATCATTTTTATAATATAATTTTAAATATATTTTTTAAACGTGTAGGTATCAAAAGGTCGCAGTTAAGTGGCTGTGGGAATTACATGGTCGTAAATTAGGCGGCCTGCTGGGCGACGAGATGGGATTAGGAAAAACAGTGGAGGTCATTGCGTTCTTCGCGGGTCTGGATTGCAGCGAATTGCTCTCTCATAACGGACGGTATTACACATCTTCGTAAAATTTATACTTTTACAAAACAGGTAGAACGTTTTTGTTTTTAGCGAGACTTTTTTTATATTGTTTTATTTTCACGACTTATGTTCATCGTTATATTTATAATATAAATGCGTTAATGCACTTGAAAAATTTTCTATTCACGATTGACAGATTCAGGGGATTAGGCCCGACTATAGTTGTATGTCCTGCTACTTTAATGGAACAGTGGGTGAAGCATTTTCACGATTGGTGGCCCTTCTTCAGAGTCGTTGTGCTTCACCATTCTGGTGGTTATAATGGTAAAAGAACTTATTTATATGTGTATACAATATACGTATGTATATATTGCTTATAAGTTATTAGCCACACATATAATATTCGCAATGTTTCAGGTGATCCTGAAAGTTTGATAGAATCCCTACAAACTGGCGGAATACTCATTACTTCTTACAACGGAGTTCTCAAACACAAAGATTTGCTTGTGTCCAGTCAATGGCATTATGTTGTCCTGGACGAAGGCCATACGATTCGTAATCCACAAGCGAAGGTAATTAATCCTTTCTTAGAATTGCCGTGTTACCTGCGTTGAAGCCTCTTTTCCCCAATGTTTAAAAATTCATATCTTCCAAAAAAATATAGACTTCTTTCTGGGCTCATCTTAAAGATAAATTTTATGTGGCTATTTTTAAAAAAATCATGATTTTATTTAAAAATAACCGATTCAAAATGGCCGATTAAAACGTCATTTTTTTGAAAAAGTTTTTTTTTTAATTGTTAAAATTTGTTTAATTAAAATGGATGGTGGTGGTGGGTGGTGATGGTGGATGGTAATGGTGGTGGTGTCTAGTTAACATAATAGACCTATTATAACATAAAAGAAATTACAAGAAATTGCAAATATCACACAATATTATCTCTTATATTAATTAAATTATACTGTACCTTTTGCAGGTGAGCCGAGCGGTGAAGCGACTCTCGACGCCGCATCGATTGCTGCTGAGCGGTAGCCCAATGCAGAATTCCCTGAAGGAACTGTGGTCCTTGTTCGATTTCATTCTTCCTGGCAAACTGGGCACCCTGCCTGCATTTCTTGAACATATCGCGATGCCCATAACACGCGGCGGTTACGTGAACGCCACGCCGTTGCAGGAAGCAACGGCCCTCCAAATAGCCACTATGCTGAAAGACACCATCACGCCGTACATGCTTCGAAGAACGAAGACTGATGTGAAACATCATCTCACTCTACCGGAAAAAAACGAGCAGGTTCTCCTCGTTTTTTTTTTTAAGAATAGATACGTCTATTACAGATATTGTTTTCCCATCCATTTTTATCTTTTTTCTTCCGAATAATCTTGTTTCAAAGATACAGAGAAGTATCGAGTTTTTCAATTGTTATTACAATAATATGTTTTTTTTTCTCAGGTATTATTTTGTAGCTTGACGAATGAGCAGAAGAAGCTGTATAAAAAGTATCTGTGCTCCGATGACGTTTCCTTTATTCTTCACGAGAGAAATAATCGTCAGGACAGTGGAAGATACAGAGCGAGGTTTCTCATTGCTTTGTCAGCGCTGAGAAAGTTATGCAATCATCCGGATTTGTTTTTGTACACCAGAGAGCAAGTAAGACCACTAACATTTACACTCGGTAACATTTACGATATTATAAACTTTGTTTCTTTTTACTTAAGAACTCCGATGAAGATATCAATTTGTCCGAAGAGCACTTAGAGCAGTTCGGCTATTGGAAACGTTCTGGGAAAATGACAGTGGTCCGATCTCTTTTGAAAATCTGGCAGAAACAAGGACACAGAGTGTTACTTTTTACTCAGGGAAGACAGGTAAATATAATCTTTGACATTTAAATTTTATATTCGTTGAATCATTTCAAAAGTGTATCGATATTATGGAATGCTTTTATAAAAGAGACATTTGATGAATAAATATTACATATTGTTTTGAAATTGACATGACACTTTTACAAAAGATACTTCAATTTTGCGATTTTTCGAATTCAAATTATTTATTAGATTTACTATATTAGATATTTTATTAATTATATACAATTAATCCGCCAAATAAATTAATTGTCATACTTAATTTTCTTTGTACAGATGCTGCACATTTTGGAGTCTCTTTTGCAACGCGAGGGGTACACTTATTTAAGACTGGATGGGACAACAGTAATGTCTCAACGACAGCAAACGATTTACAAATTTAATAATGTACATATTCATCGCTAAAAAAATTCATGGCAGAAATAATATTCTTGAAAAAATTAATTTTTCTTTTTTTTCCAAAGGACACGTCGTATTTCGTATTTCTACTGACGACGCGCGTAGGAGGCCTGGGAGTAAACCTGACCGGCGCGAATCGAGTGATCATTTACGATCCCGATTGGAATCCTGCCACGGACGCTCAAGCGAGGGAACGCGCGTGGAGAATAGGCCAGAATAAACAAGTCACCATCTACAGATTAATTACCGCCGGTACGATTGAGGAGAAGGTTGGTAACAGCAGATCGTGTTCCACGAATTTTAATAATAAAAAAGTTGTATAAATTACGTTTATAATAAGAATCGAATGGCCTAGTAACAGCAATCTGCATCTCTCTTTTCAGATATACCACAGACAGATCTTCAAGTTACTGCTCTCGAACAAAGTTCTTGACGATCCACGCCAACGTCGCCTATTCAAAACGACCGATCTTGTGGAGCTGTTCAATCTGAACGAGCCGCTGGACGGCGAGTTTTCCGAGTCGGATCGCTTGTTCAGAGAATCTAAATTAACACCCAGTGGCTTCTCCCTCAGCAAGATCGAGCAGATGAAAAAATTAGCGTCGATTCTCAGCAAGAAAATAAGCGCTAGCGTAAAGTCGACGCGCGACGAAACTGAAGGCGCGAGCAACGGCACTTGCGAAGGGAAACGCGACGAACAAAACAACAATTCGAGGCCCATCGAAGCTGTCGCGACGGAAAGTGATGCGCTTGTGGATCGAAGTTCACCATCCGATCAAAGTAATACAGAAAAATCTCCAAGCAAATGCAATGAAAATTTCGATACGGATTCCAATGTAGACGTTGAAAGGAACAGCAATATAGAAAACACATTTAAGGAAAACAATTGCGAACAGGATGTAATCCCAGTGAGATCTCCAGATAACAGTCCTGTGGAAAAGAATAAATTAGATGAGGGCGAAGTCACGTCCGCTCATAAACATAAGAAGCACAAAAAGAGTTCGCATTCGGGTAAGAAAAATGTCTCCGCGATGTTTGAGGGTGAACGTGTCTCTTGTCTGATCGGCCGTCGCCTGGGACGTTCCACGGAAGGAGAGAAGTCAGTTCCGACCACGGACGATGATTATGTGCTGAGAAAGCTATTCGCCAAATCAAGTAAATCGATACATTTTATATTAAAAAATAAAAAAAATATGTATATAGAAGTTTTATCTACATCTTTAATTTATATAGTATATTCAGTTCGATATATTTATGTACATATCTAAATGCTCATTCATAGAGAACTAAATGCTTAAATATATATTTAATCTTTTTATTAAATTGAACTTTCCAGTGTTATAGAATAGTCTCTACATTCTTACATAAAACTGTTTTCAGCTGTTAGTTCGGCCTTCCAACATGAAGCAGTATTATCTAATGCGCGTCATAATAGCGACAGCGAGAATGTGATGCAACGTTTTGCACGTGAATCCGCGCAAGAAAGTATGGCTTTCGTTCATCAATCGGGGAAACATTGTTGGAGACCAGCGTAGGATAAACAATGTAGTTTGTGATCTTGAACATTTTTTTTTTCTATCAAGTTTTGTAAGTTTGTAACACATCATTTATACCATTTTCATATTAATTATATAATTTTCAAACAAATGAGCTGTAAGGAAATCACAACTATATAGTCTAAAATCAAATTTATAATTATCTTTTTTTTTATTAAAAAACTTTTTTTTAACAACTTACCTCGCATACATTTGTCACACAGTATGACAGAACACATTTCAATAGCAGAGTTTTGTAAGAAATAAATTACTTTTTTACAACGTTGCAACGACTGTATCTCTTGCATGTACAAACATATTTTATTATAGAAATATAAATTAATTTCACAACTTTTCGTATATATTTATAATGCGCTTTATAAAAAAAAAAAAAAAACAAGTTCATCTGTTCATTTTTCTCTGCAGCATATAATTCAATTCTCATAAACTACCGTGCACACCGTATGAATGTACAAACTTAACACAAGTACAAATTTAGTCGTATATAAATTTTTTCGTTTTTTTTAAATGTAAAAAGCACGTACTGAATATATACAAAAAGAAAGAAAAAATGAATATAGATAAATATCTGAAAAATATCATGGTCAAAAAAATTCATTTTCTTGATAACAAGACATTAATTGGTCTTGTACTTAATTTGATGGAAAAGCACATATTATGGTATTATATTGGTCTTAATGTCGCAGAAATCTCTCGAGATTAGGTCCAAACTTGCCTAACGGATCTTCCGGAAACATGATGTAATCCCCAACAAAGGTGGGTGTCAGTAAACGATTCAAAATAGTATTGCGCCATTCCGGTTTCTCCCTATATAAATCTCTGTATTGATCCGAGGAAATCACTATACCTCCACATGACGTCGCATATTTCAAAATAAATCTACGATAAAAAAAAACAATGAGAAAGATCTAAATTTTATATATTTTAAAATAAATTACGATAAAAAAAGACACAATTAGAAAGATCTAAATTTATATCTTCGATGTTTTAATTAATATATAAACAGATTTCCAATTATTTCCACAATAAACAAAAGTGAAGGGGCAAAATTCATTATAATTTACAGTATTTTACTATAAACAAGAAGATATTAATTGAGATAAAACTAAGCTGTATAAAGTACGAATATCAAAAAATTCATAATTAATTTGTACTTCTGTGAAAAGATGTGTTTATATAAACAATGGGTCTAATATTATATATTATATACTGTTAGAAGAAAATGGAACATTTTACTGTACATAGAAATAATTTTTACTTTGTATTAAAGAGAGAGAATGTAATAAAATATGTATGCTATTTTTCTATTTTGTATAATAAAAATAGTGATGATTATATCTACCGATCATCGTAGGATGTAATTTGTCTACCACCAATTTTGCGGCTAGGCGTAAAAACAACTGTGCCCTCTTTGTATAGTTGCTCAAGAAACGTGTGTTCCTTTCTCCGAACGTGCTGGGGTAAGAAAACCTTCACAACGTGCCCCCTCTTCGTAAAAAAATTTACCACTATTTTGATACCTTTCTCTGAGAATTCTTTACCGTTTGTATGGCTAAAATATAACGTAAACAAGATTATCACATGTGTTGCTCAAACGCAGAAATTAAAAAAACGAAATACATAAAGTATATTGCAATTTTTATAAATTTTATAACTCAACTATACATATATATGTGTTTAAATTTATATATATATAAAATATATATATATGAATTTATATAATTATAAAATATATATACTTTAAATTTATATATATATATATATATATAGTTGAGTTATAAAATTTATAAAAATTGCAATATACTTTATGTATTTCGATTTTTTTAATTCTTGCGTTTGAACAACACGTATAGTATAATAATCTTCATAAATTTTGTATAAAAAAATTTATGAAGATATATATGTAATTAGCCAATTTTCGCAGTTCATGAAAACTTATCAGTATTTGCATATCAATAATAACATGCATGATTAAAAGAAAAGAATCATACGCCATTGCCACATTGCAGCCATCAACAATAATCTCTCTTAATTTATGTTTTGAATTCGTCGTGCTTGAATTCAGATCTGAATTAGTTCTCTCTGCTTCTCCTTGCAGCTCATTGCTGCAATGCGCTTTGTGGAGCTCTGTGGGATTCGAGTCCAAGTTATTGTTATGTCGCCTTTTTCTCTGACTGCGGTCCAAACGATTCAACGGGCTTTGCTCGACTGGCTTGACGAACGATTTGGCTGCAATTCTGTTTTGGAATAGACCTTGTTTCGTCAGTTTCTTCTGCGCATTTTGTTTCGTATTTTCCGTTAAACGTTTGAGATATTTAAAATTCGGCCTTCTGTCTATCCTAAACAGTATGTTCGTCTCATAAGGTCTCTTCTTGTTTATAGCAAAATAATTGGACCTCACATCTTTCTTCTCTCTCGTGTCACTTTTTGCACTTTTCTTCCCCTTTTTTGCTTTTGGCGAATTCTTCAGACACGACCATAACTCGACCACATCGTCCTCAGTTTGCAGCGGCGCTAAACGTTACGAGATATACAAGTACTACTTTAGAATAGTATTGATCGAATGAATTCCCTTGCTCAGAACTTTCTTTCGCAAGGGAAACCAAATAGAATCGACTCACCTATATTTTCCCCGTCTAATATAGATTCCTGCGAGTCTGACCAGTCCGAAAGGATGGAAAGAACGGATAAATCACTGTCCAGTGATATTGTGGACGATTTTTTCATTTGCTCGTTGGAGACTTTAACTCTTTTTCTCCGTTGTGCAGGCGAAGCCGATTTCGAGCTGCATTCAATAATGCTGATCGAGGCGTCTCCCTTATCGCCATCATTTGTTTCATCGTTATTGTCGTCGTCATTCCCATCGTCTGTTTCACTGTCATTGATAACAATTACACTATTTCGCGACGAAGTCTTTCTGCCAGAAGAACCCGTCGCATCTTGTTTACTCAATTTCCGCCTATCGCATGTTAACCTCTCGTTCTTGTTGTAAACAACATTGCCCACGATGGTCCTAAGCTCCTCCAGACTGGTCGATAAAAATCATCAGTCTTCAGTTTCATGTTTCGGATAATAATAAATCTATTGTCAGAGTCATTACCTTTTTTTAAAACCCCTCAACGGACTCTCATAACAATACGGGGATTCTCGCTCGATACTCCTTTTCCTTTTCATCCTCGTAGACTGAGCGACATTCATCGCGCCGCGCGCGGATCTAAATCATGAATATATGTATAAGTCGATTTTCGAGGGGAGGAAAAAATATCCGCGTAGTAATTCGATGTTCTTGTATTTTTTTAGAAATATACAATAGCCAAGATTTTTTCCGAAAAACCACGTGGTAATTACTACCATTGATACAAACGTTGACGAATGGACTGGACAGTGGACGGAGTGGACGGCAATGAACGGGCTATCAGGTTATGGCCTATGGACCAAGGATGGAATTTATAGGCTTATAGCTCAAAATCGTCCGCGGCCGTCGTCGCGAGAGCGCCTCGACTGTTATCGACGGAAGCAGCTTTTTTAAACTAATATACATATAAATATACATACAGGGTGAATTTTAATGGATGGACACCACATTTTCAAGCGTTTACCATAGGCGGTAAATTACCGACTGCACCTCTAGTGCTTGAGCGATCTAGAGATGGCAGCGGCTTAGATAGATGTATGTACAAACGTATAA